AACCTCAATTTCTGTCTGGCGACAAGAACGCCATAGACGAGTTCCTGGACAAGTTTGATGTATGCGCCTAGAATCTCCGGTTGCCAGACGCTTCACTGACGAGATGCTCAGGTCTTCCTCTTCGACTGCGATGGTATGCGCCAGCCTTGTTCATACAACCATGTCTCTTGCCTGCGATCGCTATAGTACCTGTGGCCATCTACTGATTGTGACGAAGGATAGGCGTCCTTTGGTCCGGCGATCACCTATACGAGAGGGTCCCAGAAACTCTCGAGATGCTGAGGAGTAAAGGTAGGCACACACCTGCTACGCGTTATTATTGCATTCCAACTGACTGAATCCAGGCAAACAACTCGTCTTTGTCACGAACAACAGCACCAAGTCGCGCGCAGACTACAAAAAGAAGTTCGAAAAACTGGGTATCCCCGCCCAGGTGGTATGTAAGCAGGAGCCCAGAGTATGAACACCGGCTGACACGATATCAGGAAGAAGTCTTCGGATCGTCCTACAGCGCCGCCGTATACATCGCTCGCATCCTCAAGCTCCCCGCGCCGAAGAACAAGGTGTTCGTACTAGGAGAGTCGGGCGTAGAACAGGAGCTCGAAGCTGAAGGTGTCCCATACATTGGTGGTACAGACCCTGCCTACCGGCGCGAGTTCCGGCAGCCAGAGGACTTCGAGGCTATTGCAAATGGCAGCCTGCTCGATCCAGATGTCGGCGTCGTGCTGAGTGGTCTGGACTTCCACTCCAACTACTTGAAGACGGCAATCGCGTTCCAGTACCTACAACGTGGCGCGGTATATCTCGCAACCAACATCGACAGCACGCTGCCGAACGCGCATTCTCTGTTCCCCGGTGCTGGCGCATCAGGTGCCGCGCTGGAGAGAGCTATCGGTAGGGCGCCATTGTCGCTGGGCAAGCCGAGTCAGGCCATGATGGACGCGATAGAAGGCAAGTTCAAGTTCGACCGAAGCAGAACATGCATGGTGGGCGACAGATTGAACACGGATATTCAATTCGGCATCGACGGAAAGCTGGGCGGGACTCTGGCTGTGCTTACCGGCGTTAGCAAGAAGGAGGACTTCCTGGCTGAGGGTGCGACGACTGTTCCGATGGCTTATGTGAACGCGCTGGGTGACCTCATGGGCTGAGCAATGATGTGATGAGAGCAGGGCTGCACCTAGAAGCAGGGTTGCAAGGGCATAGATAGGGTTCGGTATAGAATACAGGGAAACGATGCTGAGACTCGCATACCATTCTGAACCGCTGGGTCTGGGAACATGGCAAGTAATGGTGACCCAATCAGACACGCGGACAGCGCGTGCGCTACATGTGGCTAGCGTACTTTACGCGTGCACGCGAACGCGCCTGCCACTTTAACACCCCCATCAACTGTGGAGACGTGCAAGCCGCCGAACAACGCAAGAAAACCTCAACATCATGATCCGCCACGACTACTCCCGAGTTGACCCCAAGCGACGCGCGCAAATCGATCCTAAGAGGCAACAATTTAAGAAGGCAGAGTTCCAGCAGCAGAACTATGAACACCGACTCAACTTCTACACGCTGCCACCCACCGCAGAGATTACACTGGAAGAGTTTGAGACATGGGCAATCAACAGGCTGAAGGGTATGCACCTTTCATCACGGCTACCTGATCGTGCTAACCGTGTGCGCTGCAGTCCTTTCCGAACTCGAAGCCTGCAGTTTCCGCAACAAAGGCCCCGAAGAGACCGCCGAATACATGAAGAGCATACTGGAGAAATACCTACCGCTGCGATCGGACTCGTCACGAAGTCAGAAACTACAGGAAGAGCGGCGGAGAGACCACTATTCACACTTCATACTGCGCCTTGCGTTTTCGTCAACAGAGGACCTGCGACGGCGGTTCTCAAGGCTCGAGACCATGCTGTTTACGCTGCGGTTCAAGGATGATGATCTGCGAGAGCGGCAGCAATTCGTCAACAGCCTCAATCTCGATTGGACAGAGGTCAAGGAGGATGAGAAGCGGGAGCTGAGGGATGAGTTGCATGCGGCGAGTGGTATCAAGAAGACTGAGGACCAGGAGTGGTTCAAGGTTGATTGGGAGAGGGTACCTGAACTTGTTGCGCAAAGAAAGGTCCTACTGAAGAGGGGAATGGCATATGTTCCGCAACGAGAGCAGATGAGTCTGGTGGTTGCTGAGTTTACGAAGAAGCTGGACGAGGCACTAGAGGTATGGACTCCGCTACACACATATCTGAAGGTATCGCTAACAAACTCACAGCTAACAGCCCGCGCCCTCCCCCGCCTCGACGAAGACGACCGCCTCGCCCCCATCCTCGCCCACCTCTCCCAATCCTTCACAACCCCGGACGCCGCCTACTCCACTTCCGACGCCAACATCGACGGCCTCTCCACCATCACCGCAAACAGCATCGACACACTCTCCCAACACTTCCCCCTCTGCATGCGCAACCTGCACAACAGACTGCGCGACGACTCGCATCTCAAGCACTACGGGCGTCTGCAATACACCCTCTTCCTCAAAGGCATCGGCCTCAGCCTCGACGAATGCCTCGTCTTCTGGCGCCGCAGCTTCAAGCTCATCACCGACGAGAAATTCCAAAAAGAATACAAATACAACATCCGCCACGCCTACGGCGACGTGGGCGGGGACGCAAACCGTCGCGGCCGCGGCTACACGCCGTACTCCTGCCAGAAGCTCCTCACTGAGGCCCTGCCTGGGGCTGGTCAATCGCACGGCTGCCCCTACCGCACTTTCACGCCCGAAAACCTGCTCACCATGCTGCAGCGTGTTGGTGTTAATGATAGGGATGTGCTCAAGACGGTTAAAGAGGATGTGGGAAAACAGAGGTATCATGTTGCGTGTAATAGAGTGTTTGAGTGGAGTCACAAGAAGGAGATTAAGAAGGTTAAGGAGGAGGGGAGTAGGAGTAGTAATGATTTGGATACGATTGTGCATCCGAATACGTATTTTAAGAGGAGTTGGTTGTTGAAGCATTTGGGAGAGGGGAATGCGGGGGTGGTTGGTGGGGAGAAGATGGAGGAGTGATGGGTTGATTGGGTGTTTGTTAAGTTTAGGGTTGGTGATTATATGGTCATGATGGCATGGCATGGTTGCGGTTATGCTCTGCAGCATTTGTACTTGAATACCAGTCCATCTACTTTCCGCGACTTCTCATCTTGATTATTCGCGTTAGGCAGTAGCAGCTTCCCAACGCGTCATGGCATCTGTGCGTTTTTCGGCTACCCGGCTCCTTCGACACTCGCGCGGACTTCTGCCTGGAAACCGTCGACCTCTTCCATGGTACTTTGGATACAGCCTCTTACGTTTTCTTCTGCCATCACTTCCAGCATGAGTTGGGACGTAGCAAAGTCCATCGAGTTGCACAATCGCATTGTCGCCCATGCCCGCTCGCACCTTCCACCTGAACACCAACCCACCATCCAGCGCAATTGGTTCGCCGTACACTCACTAGATCCAGCTTCCCCAGGCTTCGAATTCGATCTTGACGAAGAACTTACAGAATTCCTATCTGGCATCGATCTCGTCGTACCCAACGAAGCCAGTAACCATCTAGCTTTCAACCCAGTCCTCGTTGGCATCGTGAACCCTCACGGTCGTTATGGTTTGCGAACCCAGTCATGGGAGGATTGGGATAATGACCACGCTGATCTCATCGTGCTGTACCAGAACACGGGGTATGATCCAGCTGGGTTAGTTTACAATCTCGAAACGCAGCAGGTTACCTACTTGGAAGACGCATTTACCTCACCCTATGAACCCGATGAGATGAAGCTTCCGTGGGCTGATCTTGATGAAGTTCTACAACTGTATTGGGACTGCGTCGAATCTGGGAAGTTTGTTATAGATGCGGAAAATCCTGGGTTTGGCGAACCTGATAATCTTGCGACGCAGGGGTGGAGAGTTGAGCTGTGTACGGAGAAAGAGATGGATCAGGTGTTGGATGTGTGGGGTAAATTGATTGATGTGATCGCGAAGAGGATGCCTGCATCTGACACGCGAGAGGAAAAGAAGGAGGATGAGGACCAGACGGAGCACGAAGGACCCCAGCGTAAGAAGAGGAGGAAGCACAAAGAACCCTTCATCTCTACCGAGGTCTTGAATAAGTACCCAGCGATTCCGCCATTCGTGCGCACCTTCCTCTCAAGAGCTAAAAGGCCTCCCTTCAAATCCATCGCACCGCAAATCGACGTACCTGATGAGGACTTCATCCATCGCGTAGGAGCGGAGATGCAAAACAGACACCCCGATGCTACTCTCGAAGAGCCGCAATACGGGATATCCGAGAGTTATCTGTTTCTACTTTTCCCGTGGCGCACATCAGGCATCGAGCTTATTTCCGAGCGCGACCAGGAGAATTGGAAGCCTCAACGTGGATCTAGCATTTTGGACAATCGCGGAGGACTATACATTCAGCCCGACGACTTCTACTCGTATTGTGGCACGTTACTGCTGCCATTTCCTCTCGGGGGTAACGGTCACGTCCTGCGAGGTGATGATACCAAAGTAAAAGCATATGAGTCGGGTCAGGATGTGTTGTATCATCGCGGCATAGGTAATCCCTTTGTACCTGGCTGGGGAACGCCGTTGACTGCCATACTGATCAACTGGTGGGAGCAAGTCGAAAATGACTCCTGGGGTGTTGATGAGAATGGAGTTGCTGGGGGAGATGAGCTGTGGCGGAAAGCGGATACCGAGGAGGGTGCCGAGGACTTCAAGATTTAGTGATGATGTTTCTGGAAGGACCCTGCGGTGACGCGAAGACGAGCGACTCACAGCTTCCGAAATCATATGTACCCATCCAATCAGGTCCTTTCGAAAAGAGAAGTATCGTCAACATAAGAGCTTCTGAAAGGTCCTACCTCGATTGTCGGGCATCGTCAGTTCCGCGATGACAAAGCTCGCGAGCAAGGAAGTTTGCGGAAACATGCACGATTATATGAGCCAAGACGGGACAGCGCAGTACCACGCGATGCGAGTTTGTCCACAGCAAACTCATAGCTGTTCGACTCATTAGAGGGCGATATGCCTAGCACCAGATGCCCAAGACACTACGAGTAGTCAAAGATGAGCGACAATGCTTCATCCACCTTCATTGGGGACAATACCCACGGGTCTACTCTGAACCAAGGGTCCATCATCACTGGGGACGGCTCACACGTCGGCAACATCAACCATTTTCACACGGCTACACCGGAGGATTCCGCGCGCAAATCATGTCTGAGAGACCTCCTGGCAGCTTTGGGGGACGATCCAGACGACTATCGGCAGATGCTCGAAGACCGCAAGGGACCGAAAACACTGGGCACTTGTGAGTGGGTTTCGGAAACCGACGCATACAAGAGCTGGATCGCCAAGTCTTCCAGCCTACTATGGATCTCCGGAGATGCCGGCAAGGGGAAGACTATGCTTTCTCTCCATCTCGTCAGCACACTGAAGGGCGACTCTTCAACTGCACATGTCGTTCACTTCTTCTGCAGTCGAGACCACAGAAGGAACAATGGTTCTTCTATCCTCCGCGGCCTTATCTATCAACTGCTCTCTCAACGTTCATCGCTGTTCGAGCATATTCTGGACGACTATGACAAGCACGGAGCTAGTCTATTCGATGACAGAAAGTTCCAAGCCCTTTGGGCCATCTTCGTTCGGATGATGCATGACCCAAACATCGCAGCCATTACATGCATTCTCGACGGCTTAGACGAATGCGACGAAGAGGGTCTCGAAGACTTCTGGGTGAAGATCAAAACCCTATATGAATCCGAACATCAACAGAACTCCGAACTCTCGTCTCACTCCTTGAAGCTTCTCGTCGTAAGCCGCAACCATCCTTACTCCATTCAGCAAGCAATGGATAAGTTCCCCAGACTGCGTCTTGAACCCGACAATGAACCACATGTCGGATCTGATATCTCCAAATTCGTCGACGATCGTACATCCAGTTTGCAATGCCCAACTGAAGCACGAGAGTACATCAAGAAAAGGCTATGCGATCGATCGGAAGGAACCTTCCTATGGGTCAGCTTCGCCATCAACGCTTTGAAGAAGGTGCGAGTTATCGATATGGAACGTACTGTCGAATCTTTCCCTCGTGGGCTCGATGCCATGTACCGTCGTATGTTGCTGGCAATCTCCGAGCACGAAAGAGACAAAGTTATGGAAATTCTCCGGTGGATCACGACCACATTTCGTCGACTGAGCCTCGTTGAGCTGGCTACCGCCGTCAACACCATCCCTGCGAGGGGCCAGACCCTGGAAGAGGCGGTCACTGATGAGGTCGCCTATGCGGGAGACCTGTTATTCATTGACACACAACGTGACACTGTCGCACTCGTGCATTCCTCGGCCCTAGACTTTCTCCATAACATTGCGCATGATGATATGGACATGGGTATCTTCCATTTCGAGCCTACCGTCATGCATGCCCATATCGCTCGGTTCCTCTTCGATCATACTAACATGGTATTCCAAACTATCAGTCCTGTTCAGAAATCCGTCTCTAGACTTGAAAAAGTTAATTTCTTCAAAAGCATTGGATCTACGTATCCACTGATGGTGTACGCCGGGGCCCATGCTTTGAGGCATCTGTTACTTATCAACAATCTTGGTAGCATTAGCGATTACCATCCGATACTGCATCCGGCTCATCAGTATCATACACCATGGTTACAATTACAATGCAGCCTATTTTGGAATCATATTCCCAACCACGGAGTTAAGTTGGAACACGTTGCTGCACTTCACGGCCTTGTAGAGGTTCTGGAACATACACAGGCTCAATTACATGACAACATCGATATTCGAGACGGCGTCGACAGGACTCCCTTATTCTACGCTACACTTGGAGGACACTTGCAAATGATAAGGTGGCTGCTGAGTAATGGAGCTGATCCCAATACTCAGGATGTGAATGGACATATACCTTTGCATACTGCTGTTCATCTTGTTCGTCCTGATGATGTCGAAATAATCGAAACTCTCTTACGTTATGGATCCAAAGTTCATTTGCAGTCGTCGAACCAGTACATGCACAGCATGTTCGATTGGGATGCTACGGACGACACTGATAATTGCCACATTCCCGAGGACATTGCTGAATGGAGCGGAACACCTGTCTACGTCGCTGCCTCATTCTGTGGGCCAAACGCACTGAAGATACTCCTTGGTCGCTTTCTACAAGGGGGTGGTTCCCTGGGTGGGAGTGACGCAAACGGCCGCACCTTTCTTCATGTCATTGCAACTCGCCAAGGTTCTGCTTGGCGAGCTTGTTGGCACTTTTTGCTAGATTGGCTGAAACCCCCTCATATCATTGATCTCAACACACTGGATAGCCGCGGTGAGGCCGCACTCCATGTTGCTGTACAAAATTGTAGTCCAGCAACTTGGATGCCTTTTCTGGACGACTTCAATGAGAATTTGAAGTCTATTAGGAGTTCTTGGTACCCTATCTTTGCACTCATCGAATCACTTGAGGCAACTGTCGACATCCGAACAATTACCGGAGCAACCCCACTACATCTTGCATGCCAAAAGGGATTTTTCGCTCTAGTCTACTGTCTTCTGCACAAAGGTGCCAATGCACGCTTGTATGATAAGCACGGTCAGAATGCATTGCATAGGCTTTGTAGCCGAAGGCAAAAACGCGATCAGAACAGACCTAGGATTTTGACTATACTCGTACGCAGCATGACTTTAGGGGATATCGAAGCTAGAAGAGCTGATGGCCAAACAGCTCGAGATCTAGCTGTCGAATCCGACGCGGAGTATCTAGAGAGAGAATGGCGTTTCGAGAACGGCCTGAACCTGAATCTTGACAAGCCTGCAGACCCAGTGTCGGGCTCAGACGCAGAGCCGGGCTCCGGAGAAGAGATTAATGACATAGAGTGGATGGATTATATGTATTGTCCGGCATTCGAAGAACTTCATACTCTGATCGATTGTAGCCTGGTCATCATCAAGGGCGAGGGTTCAAAGAAAGATTTGGAGTTTTTGCAGCGAATAGTGAGCAAGCACCCGCATTTACAGCATTGGCTAGATAAAAGACGCCAATATCAGGAGTCTAAGGCGACCAATCTGTGGCTGGTCGATCTTAGCAACCGCACATGACGAGCCTCGATTCGCATCAACCGCAATTAGGACATGCATGATGGGGTGTAGCATCGCCCTCTATTGTCCGGGTGTGGTTACGTGGTCGAGAGGGATACACGGGTGCTGTGCATGGGAAAGATGGAAGCGTGAGTGTTGGTTGCGAACAGGTCGTATTTCAATCTGGACTGCACTTCATCAACTAGATGATATTGAAATAACACCGAATCGAAGCTAAATATTGACCCTCATCCACCTTTACTTCGTGAAAATCTCAATGGGAAAAGCATCAGCAATCGCCTGGTACCCCGCAACACTCGGATGCAGCCCATCACCACTATCGTACCTCTTATCCAACTTCTCCGGATTCGTCTTATCCGCAACCATACTCGCGATATCAACCACATGATCATAGTTCCCGCTCTCCAGAATCCACTTATTCACCCTCTTCCTCGTCTTCTCCCTCTCAACACCCTCATACCCATTACCCGCGAAAGGCGCAATCGTACCGCCGATAGTCGTGTAGCCAGCTGTCTTCGCATCAGCAGCAATCTGCTTGAACGCGGCGATGAGGCGGTCGCCGACAGATGTCTGCGCAGCAGCCGTGTTGGCGTTACCACCGATGTCGTTGACACCTTCGAAGACCATGACCCATCTCACGCCGGGTTGCTCGATGGCGTCGCGCCTGTACCGGGTTAGGAGGGGTGGGCCGAGACCGCCGCTTAGAACGGTGTTGCCGCCGGCGGCCTGGTTGCAGACGGCGATGTTGGTATGGTTTGTGGATTGTAGACGGGCGAGTACGAGGTCGGGCCAGCTGCGGTGGTATTAGACGGGAAGTAGTTTTGCGGGGTTGAGTAGTGCTTACCGGTTGTTTTTGTTGTCGTCTGAACCTCTTCCGTCGGTGATGCTGTCACCGAGGACCATCAAAGAACGCGTGGTGGTTGGTACGTAGGCTTGTACTGCGCTGACGAAGTACCAGTGCACACTTTGTGTACCGGAGAAAGTCGTGGCATTGACTTTGTTGCCGCTCACGAACCAACTCGTCGTTCTGCTGCCGGGATGGCCAGTGATGCTGCTTCCACTCTGCCCTTGCTGGCTGTACAAGCTCACGGTGAGCATACTTTGAGGCTTCACTTCGAAAGCGATCTCATCGCTAGTAACGACTTGACCCTTGGGTACGGTGAAGCTGGACTTGCCACCAACAGTAATGGCTGCTAGGGGTGAGGTTTGCATACCACTGACGCCTGCTGCGCCACCTGCGGGAAGACCTACAGAGCCTGTAGTGATGGGAAGGTCTGAGCCGCCGAAGGTGTTGGAGATGGTGATCTTGATCTTCGGTGCGCCAACGGACATGTGGAGGGTTTGGCGGAGTGTCGCATCGCGCATGACGCTTCCGGAACTCTGTGATCAGGTTAGAATATCTGGGCTTCAGGTCTGAGTAGTGCAAAGATGGCATACAAAAGGCGCTGGCGGCATGTTGCTCGCTTCCACCAACTGCGGCATGCTCGTCCAGGTGTTAATCCAATGCTCGCCATCCTGTCTCTTCTCAACACTGTCAATCGCACGCCCATTCACGGTAGGCGAGATCAAAGAAAGCGTCGCAAATGCGACCGAAAGAAGTGATGTGTAAAACATCATGGCAAGAAATAAAGTTTTAACCGGCTGGGATGATGTTGTCGCAATGCGGCTGACAGCCGGTATTTGAACCGTTCATCTGGCACTTCGAATTAAGCATTTCGGTCGCATTGCGTACTGCAAATTAATTCCCAATCTCAGCAGAGGCGGCTGTTTTGTCAATGCGACGAGCGCAAATGATGTGGGGAGTCAGTCGTTCAGCGGGCGGACGTTTGGAAGTAATTAATCCGGCAGGGTATACGGTGGCCGTGCTATAGCCAGTGCCTTTTGTCCTTGGGAGAATAGCCGGAGGCTTGGTCGACATCGAGATTGGTCTGTGTAGTGCTCTCACAAACGACTGCCGAGGGCAAAGTGAGGTTGATGCTTGTGAGTGCATCGTCGCTCTTCTGAGAGTCGGGTGGTCATAAGCTGAGTGCACAGCATTGCAGCTCTATTGTGCAGACGAGAGATATGGCAATGGGCGTCATATACCCATGTTGATGAATTTACGGGCGCGCTCGCATCCAGCGTTGACGAAGGTGGCTCCAGAACGAAATGGTCGTTCATCGTGGAGGCACGAAAGTTGTGGGAGTAGCGACGCGCTCAGGTTCGTGTGTGAAGGAGAAGTCCGAGAGGACAAGTGGGTATGACGTCATGACTCTGCCCTTTCAACATGAGGCCTATCCAGAATTCATACACAGCACTACCGAGTGAAAGTGAGCTTGGGCGTGGCATCTAGTATCGCATTGGTCTTGGGCAGAGGGCAGCTCGATGTTTGTGGACAATCGTTGCACGTGACGCGACGGAGCTTCTCCGTGCACGGACCGCCGCGCTTTCAATCAGCTCCTCGCCTCGCGTCTTGTTTCATCTATCACGCCATCAGACGATGCCGAGGCGCAACCAACCCTTCATACTACAGATTATCATATCCGCACGTCCTTTCGAGTCGATATTGATCGAGTGACACACCGCGAACGCGTTGTGCGTACCGCAGGGCATGCCAGTCGGGATCATGATCGTGCAGCTGTTAACTGCACCACGACGCGTATGTACTTTCGGATCCATGGCTTTGTGATACTTCGATGAATGCGAACTAATTACATTTGCAGTATTTTATATGATTGTCTACGGCACCTGAGTGTTCATTGCGACCTCGACAATATCCGTCGCAATCCTGTCGTGTTCACAAACACCAGAGCGACTCGTATCCTCTTTGTTGTATCGCTCCACGGCCTTTAAAAACTTACGATGTAACTCTCCCAATCTCGGGAAGTGTGCATCGCTATCATGGGCCTGTCTCTTCTTCGCACAGCTGATGTTCATCAAGCGCACCAACTCTGCCCATGCGAGGAGTTTGAGGAAAGCGTCCTCATTTGAGAAAAAGCGGCTTCGCATAGCGGGGTTCCACCCTTGGAAGAGCTGGACAGCGGGACGCACAACGCCTCCAAACCAGTCAGGTTCTGCACGATTACCTTCCCATAGACGGAAGAGCTCTTCGGCGTGGACATCGACGTAGTCCTTGAGTAGACGAAGCTGTGTGACAGCAACGCCCTCCTCCGTACTACATATGATGCCCTTACTTCGCTGTGGGAACTCGAGGGTGACCTCCTCTCGTAATGGATTGACTTGCAAGTCAAAGATCTGTTCGATGTCATTGCCGATGCGCTCGGCTAGACTACGGTTGCACAAGTATACCTGGCATACTGGACACCTGCCGACTGTCTCATCAAGCGTACGCAGATTGTCCATGAGACATCGATCATGCATGGAGCAACCGCAGGGAGGTGCTATGACAGGATTCTTGTCTGCGTCATGGTAAGACTTGAAGCACAACTGGCAATTCCCAGTAGGTGTAGGGTCTTTCCAAGAATTCGGCACAGCACAACGCTCAAGGAAATCCACCTGATCAGGAAGTGAAGACGGGATGGTGTCGGAAGCCTTGTGGAAACGTGAGCTTAATCTTTCGGTGTCGGGTGCAGGAGTAGACGTACTAGGGGGTGCCTCTGTACACCGAACGCTGAAGCGTTTGGCCTTGGCCTCCAACTCCGACCTCGTATCCCAAGTTCGACCTTCAAGCTTCTTTAGCGTTGCAGTATGCCGTTGGTGTGCTGGCTTACCTGAAAGTTCGACAGGCGACCTGCGAGCGGGAAGCTCAATTGGCGATCTACGCGCAGGAAGTTCTGCCACTGGTCTATGAGTCGCTGACGCATCGAAGCCGAAAGAATTCGCCCTATCGCCGTCCACGTAGAAAGTCGACGGTAGTAGCTCTTCGCTGTCCTTCTCAATCACCCAGCGAGGTGGGTTACCCTGGTACCATTCGTCATAGGCAAACGGTGGCGACCTTTCGCTTTTAATGGTCCCAACACTGGACTGCCCGCTCACTACAGATAGGTTAGTGGATGTGGGAAGACTCGTCTTGTTCGTGTACAGACCAGTCACACCCAGCATATCCCTAGCCCTTGCTACACTTGCATCTGTCTGGATTCCGGGAAACATACCCATCGTGGCCTGGGCATCTGCATAGATGGAGGACGTATCGTGAACAGAATCGACTCGATGATGACGCGTGTGCGGCACTGCTGGTGAGGCTGAGCGCGTAGATGGGGGAGCCGAGCCTATGGGCGTGCTATCACGCGAAGAGGTACCGTGTTGAGATATTAATACCGATGGACGACCCTTCTGCCATACTTGAGGGGGCATCTCTGGCTCCCGTGCTGGAATCGAAGCACTGCGATGACGGCCTGGGATGATTGAAGATATACGCTCGGCAGTGTCACGTATTCTCGTCTCTAGCGAGGCTCGTGGCCTAGACTTCTCCCCAGCATGTCCGGACGAGCTTGGTCGCGAATGACGCACGGAACTGGATGTCATGGAACCGGATGTCATGGAACCGAATGTCATGGAACCGGATTCCACGGAACCGGATAACAAATCTACACTGGGTGTGTACGCCGGTGGCTCATCGCCATTCACGCCCTTCCACTGGTCTTTCGTAACAGTGTTCTTATCTTTGTTCATACAAAAGAACTCCGCACATTGCTCGACGATCTCAGGATGGCGCGGCGTCTGATAGCTATGCTTCCTTGGTTGTGAGCAGCGACATACGAAGTCTTTGTTCCGGCTGGTATAGTGAAAGTCTTCGACAAATACGCCTTCCATCGCCCATTTCGCTTCTCGGCTTGCGCGATACTTCCGGAAGTCAGCGAAGCTGCAGGATTCAAGGCCGTGGCGGTCCAGGTATAGCATTATGCTGGCGCTCAGATGCCTCGATTCGCATGCTACGGTGGACGTCTTCTCGCCATGTCGGCCCGCATCATGACAACGGCAGACGCGGGTGCGCTCACCGCCAACGTAATGTAAGATGCGTTCCTCGGATGATAAAGAGGATAGAGAGTGCCGGTGTAGATCGTCTGCGCGGCGGACCTCGACTGATCTTGTGCGCTTGCGGCGCACGTAGACGTAGTTACCTTTGTTGTGCGCGTAAGACTGCATCTTGTTATATGAGTAACAAGACTTCGTGGGTGGGCAGGTAGACGGCAGTCTCTACTGGTAAACGTGACCCAGCGGTCTGTATAAAAGTACTGGACTGACTATCTAGGTTCCAGGATCTGTGCATTCTTCCTAGAGTGAAGAGAACTACAACTAGGTTCGCCTTTCGTGACGTCGTGCACGCACCAGGTACAACGGCATCGTTCGTACTTGAGAACGTCATGAAGTTGATGGTAAGCACAGGCCTGCACAATGCGATTCACCACAAGGGCGTTTCAAGAGCGCTGTGAGAAAGATGTCGATACGATTAAGTCATACTTCAGCTACCACTTCACGATGCGAGAACATTGTTCTTCAGGCGAGCAATGACGGGCGACGTTGCATGCGCGTGGTGGCTTTCATTCTGTCATCTATGCGACACTGTCTTCGGCCACCAAGGCTGTCGCTGTGGCCTTACTAGACCTTGTGGTATCGACCCTTGACGTCGGCACTCTTGAGAGAGTTCCCTAGGATCCGGAAGTAGCCCCTACGACTCCGAGCCATCGTCCTCAAACAATTCATCCAATCTTGTATCATCTTGCTCGACATCTTCATCCGCATCCTCGAACAGATCATCCAAGCTAGAATCCTCCACGGGCTCCTGAACCGCCACCGGCACTGTCTCCTCAGCCTTCTTCTTCACAAACGCGGGGTTCTTGTCTGGCATCCCAGACGGTTCATCACCCTCCGAGATGATCCTCTGCTCCGGTGAAAGCTGGAAACCCTGAGCCTCAAGATGTTTGACCTCCCAATACTCATTGAAGCGTGGCCAATTAGGCCACTTCTTAATACCCTCAAGACGCTTACAGTACTTGAGTCTGCGCCCGTACTCCCTTAGCTTTTTTGCGACTTCCTCTTGAATTGCGGTCTCAGCGACGGCAGCCTGTTCTTCTGGAGAAAGCTCAGAATCACTTTCAGAGGCTGATGAGTAGTTCTGCTCGAGCGGATTTGGTGCCGCAATAGCTTCGGGCGCATCTTCCGCATCGATCGCATCGCGTGGTTGCTCGCGCCATTTTTTACTCCGTTCCTTTCTCGCTTCTTTTTTCGCATTGGTATCCGCCTTCTTTTCGTTCCGCAATCGCCCTTTCTCCACATTCCTCATGTTCTTGTCTTCCTTCTTATTGGATGACAGTTCCGTCTTCCATGTAATATGGCTCTTATACAAGTCGCCCTTCTGAACCAATTTTTCCACCTGTCGCTTCCACGCCGATTTATCCCGCGAGATTGAAGCTCTCTTTCTTTCCTTTGTGACTCCTTCTGTGCAGCAGGCCCCGGTCTCATATTGGTGGTTGCATTTGTACATTCCGGTGACTTCGTGCGGTGTGAAGTCCTCGATATCGCCAGGGTATGGAGGGACCGAGACTTTGTCCTGGGGATGTTTCACCTGGTCTGGTCTGATGGTCTCTACCGGTACTGACGAAATAACGGTAGGCGCAGAAGATATACAAGTCTGAGGCTTCGGTACCGGCTTTTGCCACGTATCTGGCTTCTGCTGTGCCAGCACTTGGCCAGGTGTGGATGGCTGAGACTTGACCGCCAGATCCTCAGCAGGCGTCACACATGCAGTGGCGCGATCGCGATAGTTCGTGTAGGCCACCCGCATTTCCCAATTGACTGGTGTCTCGACAGCCTGAAATGCCACGAGTTGGCTCCAACTTGCCCTGGTCTCGGTCGTGTTCTCCTTGAATTTGTTCGCCAACTCCACCTCTCCTTCCATCAAGCTCGTTTGGACGTTCACGATTCGATTCCAAATCTTGAGGTATTCTTCGCTAGCTTGCTCACACTGGCTCATCCGACGTCCTAGCTCTACCATATGGTGGTATGCGATATAACGTTCGAGTGGTGGCAGAGCTCGCAGACGCCACACGTCGCGCGGCACGAGCAATCCAATACGAGGACGGACAGCAGCCCCCACAGTGCCTTGATTCGCGGGGATAGCTGGTACCATCGTGACAGGCGTTCCTTGGAGATCTGGTTGCGCATCGATGAGCCACTGCTCTTGCTGAGTGCGCGGCCCTACTCGCGCGACCTGCACATTCACAGCGGGAACTTGGATACCGCGATGAAGTCTTTCTACACCCGTCTGGTGAGAAGCACACTGTGCGACTGCGCCTGGGCTGGCACTGTATCGGTGTGGTCCTTGTGTACCAGCGCTTGGCTGAATACACTGTTGCTGCAGTTGCTGGCGCGGGACATTTGCGGTCACTGTAGGTACCATGGGGCCAGTTATCCCATGACTACGCGTAGTCTGGGTTGTATGTAGTCTCGGCGCATACTCAGGCCGTGTCGTTGGTGCAGGCTGCTCGACCGCTGTAGGCCCCAGAGGGTGATTTGGCGCGGAGATACGCGCAGTCTGGGGTCCATGTAGCCCCCACGCATCGTTACGTTGTATCGCTGGACCAGGGTGTCGGTTCACGTGAGATCCATAGCTTTGGTATAGATTCCCAAACCCCATTTGTGGAGTTGTCAGAGGCCGTGACGGGGGGCTGGCACCATACTGCTGGTTGTTGCCGTGTATATACCCTAACGTGGGAGTATATAAACCGCCCTGGGAAGGCGTATATCCTGGGTTGGATCCCCGTGGGTTCAGTGGGACCGATGGGTAAGTATGCGGCGGGCTTAAGTAGGGAGGATGGACAAGAGGTGACGATTGTGGTCGCGGAATGTAAAGCGAGGGTGCTTGGGTGTAGCAATCGTGGACGTCGGTAGAATCTTCAGGCGGCGTCCAAAGTCCATGTTGACGTTGACGCTTCGCTGGCCCAAATGATTCTTCTTCATGCGCGCGCTTCGGTGGGCGCGGTAGCGTCGCAGGCGTGGATGGTAGCTGAGACATAGTAGTATACCTAGGTAACTACCAGCCGTAGGTATGGCGAGACGTTGTTGCTTGAAGACTTTTGGAAGCTCGCGAATTCGCGATCAAATTGTTGAGCGTGGCAGTGGATGGGTGGAGGTGGTTTCCAGAGGCTGCGGTATTGCTGGAATACCAGACCCAGCGCCAGGACCAGCTAGCACGTGATTCATTCCGTCACTATTGTTCTGAATTCGGAGCGATGCCGGCGAAACGCACTGACGGTCACTCGCAAGCGGCAAGTGCTGTGTTGCTTTCACTTTGACTTTGCTTATGCCACTATTTCGTGGGTGTGTGGTGGTCTATTGAGAAGCCTGTGTTCATTGGAATGCATGCTAGATCGATGATGAAGTAGGGGGTTTGGGTACTAACGTCTACATGGATAGGTTTCATGGTCGAAGAAGTTGTGTTGCTTGCCGCATACATCGACGCTTAGATTGAAGAAACTAAATTACATATTGGGACTTGAGGTATACATTATCCTCTGTACTACTCCACTGTGACTATAAAACTCTGTGTATGCAGCAAAGTGATACAGATCTTCCCTATTTGCGCGTTGACAAGTGGTGCAAGTAATCTATGGAGGTCTCCCACCAATCGTAATCGTCATCGTCCTCTAAATTGTCACTGTTGTAGAGTAGAGAACTTCGAGGCCGTATTTTCCATCGAAATCGAGGTGCACTTTCAGTCCGTCGGCACCATGTTGGTTAAGAATTGTTCCACGTTCAGAGTCGAAGAACATGTAGTTGCCTAGGATCTGGTTCACCTGAACTCCTGGTAACAGCTTCCTTGAATAGTCTTTTAGGGATTCATCCGGTCCTGCTTTAGGCCAGTAGTCGCCTTTAGCGGAGCTCATGCCACGGAAGGTCAAGGTCTTGAGATTTGGCCATGGTTCGGTGAAAGCTTGCTCCACCACCCGATGACGAAATCGGATATCAGGGGGGCATTTGACGTCTTCATCCGCTTTGATGTGCTCATCGACCTCGTCATGGCGGTCGACGAATATTTTCCGGTGTTCCAGCACGATCTCTACCGCGGTGAGACGAATAGATCGCAGCAGAGACGCCCATTGCTTCATTTGAGGGGCTTCGTAGTCAATATCATTGGGTCTCTTGCGGAATCCATTGAACCAAACAGGCTTACACAGTAGCAAATGAGTGAGCGAGGCGAATTCAGGCCATGCTGCATCATGCCATAGGCCACCTCGGGGACCAATGTAGACCGGACATATAGTCTCTCCGTACTTCGGTTGCCGCCGGTTTCCGGAGGAGGCCTAGAGCTGTGGGCGGCCCTCTCCGATCTTCGGAGTACTCGCCAATGACCTCAATCGTACGGAGATTAGGAAGTGACAGTATCATGTTCCAAATCTGGGGCGGACTCTCATGCGTTACCGTGAGGCAAAGGTGTCGTACGACCGGCTTGATCCTATCCCAAGCTTCAGATTTGCCATTGGACGCATACATCTCCCTGATGACAGCACGAAACTGCTCGTTTCTGGTATCGTATTCGGCATCCACCCCGTTGTAATCGCGGTAGCACCATGGATGTAGCAAGTCGTCGTCCAGGTAGGCTCTGGGAGGCTGCTTGTGGGAAAGAGTGAAGCAGTTATCGTGGGCGTCTTGGCGGTGGAGCTCGATGCTTGTCCAGAGCGCCGACTGCGCGAACCCGCGATACCGCTTCGAAGCGCGCGCCAGCTGAGTCAGATCGTGAGGTCGCAGGTAGCTCATGACGTCGATCGTCAGCTCGGCCGGCAGCTTGTCGATCATGGCCTCCGTTTTCGATGAAGACGCTACCATGGTGGCGGCTCAGTGTTGCAGGGCACTAGGTACAGATGTATGTGGCTGTGAGGGCATGAGAGGATGAAGATGGGCGTCACAGGCAACCGTGAGATGATAAGACGCTAGTGGAAGTGAGTGCGCATCAGAGGCAAGAGCGGAGGAGCGAAGCGCGTTATCACGTGCGCGACTCTGGAGTGAGATAGCACTGCAATACAAAATTTGGTTTGCCGCATACAATGTACTATATATCAACAACTGATCTATATTAAAGGCAATGTATACTCGAGGGGTAGACAAGTAGTCAACCACATCTCCATCACCATCCCGACCTATGCTCCGTAAATGCGGAGATCATCATAACCATTCCGCCAACCCCTAGCCTTTTTCTGCACGGCCTTCACCACCGAATGCGGCAACGGCGCCGTCCACCCCTTCTTCACCAGCAACTTCTTCTCCTCCTCGTAATACCCTTCTTTGCGCCACACCTCAAGTTTAACACCTAGCTTCTCAAGCTCATCTGCAGCGTACCGGAAGAAGGTGACATCCGTCGGATCCAATTCATACAAGCGAGGTGTATCTTCCCTCGGGTTATCCATCTCCATGATCACAACAAGAGCGAGGCGTTTGAGCGGAGAGAACATGGCGGCTAGAGAAGCGAGGCAGGTTTGGAGTTTTTCAGTTTCGCTCATCTCATCGCTTTCTTCAATGGTGTTGTGGAGAAGAGTGACGAGATGGTGGAGCTTGTCGATATCGACGCAGTCCAACGTCAGATCTTCCAGGCTCGCGGGGAAGACGGTGTGAGGATTGGAGAGACACTTCAAGTTGGTGGAGTTGGTGTCGCTTTTGGGGACGAGGAGGTCGAAGTCGATGTGTAACTGGCGGAGATTTGTGAGATCTTTGAACGTGTCGAAACGTGGGTGGCCTTCTTGTCGGTCGGACTTCTGATTTGACCACTGGAGTAGTTCTAGCAGTGGGGTGTGTTTCTCTAGGCTTCGTAGGAGTTCGGCTAGGTTGTCGCCACGCAAAGCGAGAGGCAGATTGCGTCTGCTGCGTCCGCAGTCATCGACTACGAGTTCTCGGAGGTTGGCCATTGCTGGGTTGCTGACCATGTTCTGGATTATAGCAGGAGTGATATTTCTGGTTGTCGTAAATCGAATTCGGCGGAGGACGGGTTGCGCAGGCATAGGGGATGGATAAGCGAACATGGATGAAGTCGCTCGTGCTTCGACGTCGAAATACCCGACGTTGTACTCTAATGTTCGTAGGGTTGACAATACCACGATGGAAGGCATCAGAGAAAGACCGGCGTTGTGGACGAGATGTTGAACGTTCTGAAAGGGGCCTTTGCCGTCACTCCAAGGTGCCCAAAGAAGGCGTAACACATGTGTAGGTGGTTCTTTGGAACCAAGTTCTAGATACTGGACCTTCTGCGCCATAAACAGAATGAGCGTGAAAATCTGATTGCTGGCTGTATAGTGATTCATGGGAGCCGTCAGAATATCACAATACAAGGTCAGTTTTGCTGAGAGGAATTCCGAGAACCCGCATCCTGGAGAGAGAACTTCATCCAGCACCTCTTGTATCGCGTGCGTGTAATTCCATACATCATATTGGAGCTTCTTCCTCGTCGGCGGCTTTATGTCGGCGTCGTGAGAGGACCAATGCTGGGCTGGTATGTAGCTCAAGCTCTTGATGTGAAGGGCGAGTTCCTTGCGGTCTAACAACGTGAAGAGCAGTCGCAGTGGTCTTTCAAGGTCAGATTCATACACTTCGATATTCGTATAGAGATATGGCTCAGCAATGCCTCGGTAGTATTTGTTCGTCTTGGAGAAAGCGCTGAGAGCTTTAGTGTCGCCGACGAGGCAGCTGGCGATTTGGCCATCAAGCTCCGTCGATAGCTTCTGGAGGGACATGTTGTATGCTGTTGAGCCGGCTTCGTTGAGGTGATGAAACGATAGTGATGTACGCAGGGCGGAGTTTAGGCTCGTGGTCGCTTGGGGTAGTTGATTGCTGTGACACTCGTAGCAGCGTCGAGACTGGCGGTTAATACCAGTTATCGGGAGGACTGGATCGATATTGACGGAAGAGCGGTGGTGTAGAGAAAATCCGGGGTCGTATATAGAACCAGAAGAAACGCAATCGAATACACCGCTCGGGCCCCCTCTCCCAATGCGAACACCGCCCGTAGTGTAAGGCCCATGAAATCCTTTCTATGGGCACGTAAGCTTTCCACTTTCACTCTCACCACCAAGTCAAATGCCGCACTCGCCCTCTCCAGCCAAGTCATGACGGTCGCCCACCGGTAGTGAAGGACCCATCTTTTCCCATCTGCGTGCATCAGGGTATTCACTTCCCCATGACCGAAATAATTAGCGACCGCTCACCGCACCCACATGTGATGTAATACGATTAAACATTGACCAGCCCGAGCACACCACCTATCTATGTATACATATGCTCCTTTCCTTTCCCTTTAACGCCACTTCATAACCTTCGTTGAACGGATGAAGAATGAAACGCTGATTCCGAAGAAATTGTTCAAATGCGAGAAAAATTGCGGTCTTTCATTACCTCAACGGCGAGCCCACCCTGTCCTCCACCGGCGTCTCACCCGTCGTAACGCGTATACTAGGCAAGCGCTCTAAATTCAGATTCAACGCCGGTAACTGTGGCGCTCTTGTATTAATCGGGCTCTCGTAATTCGGGGGGTCTTCATACGCAGGCGCGTCTTCCCCTGGTACCATCGCACCACCTCCACTCCCGCCAACTCCACTTCCACTCCCACTCCCACTATAACTCCTCTGCGGATTCAAACTCACAACCTCAAACCCCTCGGTATTTGGACTGGGACCAGGACTAGGCCCAGCAGTAGAATGTGAATTCGAGCGCGACGCATCCGCAAAGTCGTAATCGTCGGACCCGCGGGACTCAACGGATTGTGTGAGAGAAGTGACGGAGAGGCCGCGGGCGTGGGCGTCACGGCCGCGGGATTGACCGGAGAAGGAGGCGGCGGAGTCGAGGAGGGGTCTGTTGTCGCTTTCTGAGGAGTTGGCTCGGAGGCGTGTGCCGTCGTGGCGCGCGACGCCTAGATCGCCATACGCAACAGCGCTCACGCGTCTGTCTCTCGACCGGGTCCGGGCTTGGTGCTCTGCGATGAGCATTTGTGAAACGGAGAGGTCGGCGGCTTCTTCTGCGCGGCGCCGTATATCAGCCAGGGCCTGGACGTCGCCGCGAGCGCGGGCTTCTCGTCGGGCTTGACGCCGGGCTTCGCGGTCGGTGGCTTCGATGCGGCGGGCGAGCCGGATTTGGTAGAGGGATTCCATTTCTTCTTCCCGTTGGCGCTCTTCTTCGTCGATGGTTTCCGGGAGCTCGAGGACTGTGTCTACGCCGCCGCGTTCGCCTTCGCGGGCTAGGACGCGCTCGTTCTCTCGTGCGGCAGACGAGTAGGCGGGGAGTGTCATGACGCTGCGGACGGATGTGTTTCGGTCGACACCGGCACCGGTTGTGCTGTTTATTTGCCTCTCCGGATCTCCTGCTGCTGCTCCACTCATCTCACCACTCGCCCTGCTTGTGCTCCCCCGGTACTCGGTATCCTGCAGACTGGTCGAGTAGTCATTTCGGCGCGGGCGCTTGCGGAACGCTTTCCACGAGAATAACGAGGGGAGTTTGTCGGCGGAGGATTGTTGTGCTTTCTTTGCGGCGCGGTACGGGGCGCGGAACTTGAGGGTTGAGAAGTATGTGATTATGAGGATGGCGAAGATGGCGACGGCGATGATTCCGACCTGGGGAATGCAGGGTTAGCCAGTGCGTGGCAGAGTGTGGTAGAGCGATGGCGTAAACTTACTACGACAAAGGTCCTGCCCTGCTTGGAGACTTCTCTCCTCTCGAGGGCGCCGTCCCTTGCATGCCGCGCGGGTAACAACATGGCACCCAAACAACCATGCACGGGGCCCGTCCAGACGTCAAATGCGTCAACCAGAGCCTGTCACCGGAGTCTTGTTTTCACAATGAGATCACTTGTTTGGAGAAAGTGTGGATCGCCCAGGCTGCCAAAGGCCCGCCTTCTTGGTTCTGTTTGGCACTAGGGAGCTGTCGAACCGTTGTGTCGTGCGAAGGTCAAGGCAAAACGTTAAGAACAAGCGGCGGGAAGCGATGTCGTGGATGCGGTTAGGATATTGGGGGTTAATGGGTGTATAGTTTGGCGACTACGGAACGACCGAACAACAATGGGGGAGAGCCGCGAGTAATGGTCTGGCTAGGTCTGCGCCCGGAAGTTGGTCTTGGCAAGCTGGCTGAGTGTTGATGCGGTTGCCGGGATGATGGAGCTGTGACCAGGGGCTGTGGCACGACGAAAGAGGAAGATGGAAGGATTTCAGCAGGATGCAGGACACTGTAGCATGGAAGTCTTCTCGCATTTCAGTTCTTACACATTCAATCGCATCCTCAACAGTTATGCATTATGCAAGATGACAATCAGCCAGCGGCAGACGCCAAAAGCAAGCCTCATGTCATCTCCAAAACCTGCTGCTATTCTTAGGGCGCCATCTCCCAGATTCAAGGTCCCCACTAGCGCCGGCTCCTGATTGGCGCATCCTACTGCAGGATGATCGCATTCACATGTTTGATCTACAGCGCCGTGGCACAGAGCCACAGACAGACAAACGGCGGTCGCAATAACGGTCGTGAACAAAATTTCGAAAATGGTTATACAGTATATTTTTGAGTAAATGATTTTGAATGAAGTCGACGCTGGCTAATTCAACACCATGATAATAACAATAGATACAAGAACTGGCAAGACAGAGAGGTATGATAGACTAAAACTTCTTATCCAACTTTTTCAAGAAACTGCCAATCCCCTTCTCCACTTTATCTACCCGCTTTCCGATGTTGGAGTTGCGTTGTGGTGCGTTGGGGTTCTCGTGGTCTTGCACTGCGGCTTCGTTCTCCGTCGGCCGGTACAGCTGCTGATGCAGGTTTTGTCCCTGTGGTGGGGTTCCCGTGCTACCGTACTGGTA